GAAACACTGGGCATCAAAAGTGCTGGGAGCTAGTCATTTCCAATGTCAGTGCCCCAAAGACATAGTTCCCTAGTTCCTGCATTAGCATCCTTGGAGTGCTGTGGTTCGAGGCTTCATCTGTTACTCTCCTTCTTACTTCAAAACATCGAGCTTTCCCATTATTCTTTTGATAGGTTTTTGTTTAAGTTTAAAAATCTGTTGCAACTAGGTGCAATGACTGACGCCTGGAATCCCAGCACTTTGGGAGGCTGAGGCAAGTGGATCACCTGAGGTCAGGAGTTTGAGACCAGCCTGACCAACATGGTCTCTACTAAAAATACAAAAATTAGCCAGGCATGGTGGCACATGCCTGTAGTCCCAGCTACTCGGGAGGCTGAGGCAGGAGAATTGCTTGAACTTGGGAGGCAGAGGCTGCGGTGAGCTGAAATTGCACCACTGCAATCCAGCCTGGGCAACAGAGCAAGACTCCATCTCAAAAAAAAAAAAAAAAAAAAAAAAAAAAAAAAAATCTGTTGCTTGCAACCGTATAATCTGATTCAATATATGTACTTTTTAAATGATTAAGGTCTTCTAGCTCCAAGATGTGAATATAACTTCTTTTGAGATAGACTGTATCCTGACGCAGATCTCAGAAATGAACGGGTGGAGACTGTTTTAGGAAGTCTTCTCTGACAGGGTAAGGCTGTGCTGCTTTTGCCTGTCTCCAACAGCCTAGTATATAGTAAGTGTTCAATACATTTACTGTGAAGATTTCCTATTAAATATTTTTCCCCAGAGCAAAACGACTTCAGGAACCTGGGAGAATAATTGTATTTTTCAGTGACCTAATGCACTAAGCTTTGTATCATCTCCTCTCTGGATCTGCACAGCCAAATGCTGATGTTCAAAAATTTTTTTCCTTAATAAGAGAGCTGGTGACAGGGGGAGGAACAATAATTTTAATGAGAGGTAAGGAAAAGAAAAAGGCTATGGTGCTTCTGAAATATGGATGACTCATAGATGCTTGGAAGCAGGACAAGGAAGAAGCAAATGCTATTTCTAATTTTGAAGACCTGGTATCTATTTTATCTATCTATCATCTATCTATCTATCTATCTATCTATCTATCTATCTATCTATCTATCTATCTATCTATTTATTTTTTGCCTCCTGATTATTTTGCCCAGAAGAGTAGTTAGTTGCTCAGAAGAACTTGGCAGATTCCTTGCTGTGTCTATACATATGACCCCTTGTCGGGGAGTTGAAGGGGTGGCCTGCCCCTCCAGACCTGTGGGTGTTTCTCATTAGGTGGAATGAGAGACTTGAGAAAAGAAATGAGACATAGAGACAAAGTATAGAGAAAGAAAAAGCTGGCGTGGGTCCTCTGTAAGCTGAGCGCCAGTCCCCTGGGCCCACTTTTTCTTTCTCTATACTTTGTCTCTGTGTCTCATTTCTTTTCTTGAAGTAGGAGAATCATATCCACATAAAATGTGGGCTCCAAATATACCAAAGACAGAGTTTCCCAGAGGAGAAAGTCCGGTTGAAGAGAGTTAGGTAAGATTATGCAGTGCACTCATTCGGAATTAAAACATGTATATTTAACAAGAATCATGAAGATGGAGAAAAAAGAGATTCATTCAGAGAACCTGGAATTTTCTCATTTACCAAGACATAGTGAAAGATCACACTTAACAAAAGAAACAGAAGAGGAGATAATTTATTAACACAAAATCCAGGGAGACACTGCATGAGCCTAAGTGAGTAGTGCTCACACATTTGGATTAAACAAGGATTTTGACAGCACTCGCTGCATTCCTCTAACCTGGAAACTGCTTAGTGGCTCATCGACATGGCGCTGCCCATGTTGCTGTGAAGATTCTTCTCTCTCCCTGTTTCTTGCGATTCTTGAGCCCCCATCTCTTCTAAGCTTGGGCGACCATCTTTTAGGGTTGAAATGGCACTTAATTTGCCACATTAGCTCTGTTGTGCAGTTTTTTTGAAAATTTTATTATTAAAACGACTCAGAAAAATATTTTTAAAAACTAAATGTGAGATTACCCATAATCCTTGTACTATAAAACAATTACTTTCAATTCTCCATTTTCTCTGCTGAACAATGACCATATATATTAGGCACACATATTTTTCAGAGTTCTAAACATAGGATATAACAAGTTTGCATTATGCTTTTAAAAGAATTTTTCTAACATAATAAACTATTTTAATATTAATTTCTAAAAATATTATTTTCTAACTATTATTTTATTTATTAACTTTAGTGGCCTAATACTATCCCTATTGTCTTTGTTATAATTGACTACTCCCAAACTGTAGGTATTTAAGTTTTTAAATATTATTATTTATTGTATATATGACAAATATTGCTACAATAAAACATTTTGTGTATAGCATTTTTTTTTTCTTTTTTTGAGATGGAGCTTCCCTCTGTCTCCCAGGGCAGAATGTAGTGGAGTGATCTTGACTCACTGCAACCTCCACCTTTTGGTTTCAAGTGATTCTCCTGCCTCAGCCTCCCAAGTAGCTGGGACTAAAGGCATGTGCCACCACGTCCAGCTGATTTTTGTATTTTTTAATAGAGATGGGGTTTCAGCATGTTGGCCAGGCTGGTCTTGAACTCCTGACCTCAAGTGATCAGCCTGCCTCGGCCTCCCAAAGTGCTGGGATTAAAGACATGAGCCACCGCGCCTGGCCGTGTATAGCATTTTAAAATATTTTTATTTCTTTGAGATACATATTGCAATGAGCAAGATTACCCGGTCAAAGGATACAACTGTTCTGATGACTTGGGATGTGTAAAATGTCCCATAAAAGGGGTGGAAGCCATTCCCAGTGCCACCAAAGATACCACAATGCCTAGAAAGCTTCTATTTTTGCCAATTCTTTTATAATTAATCATTTTTCCTGTTTTAAATATTGTAAGTTGTATTTATTGAATTAACAAGGCTATTTTTCCATGTTTGTTTTACCTATCTCCTTTTGTATGAATCAATAATGACTTTTTTGCATATTTATTTATGCACATCAGACACAGTGAGGCTTTTTGTTGAAAAACTGCTAACCCTTTTGCTAACATGTTATGTTTCCCCTTTTTATGTTTTCTTGTTGTCTTTGTTATATTTTATTATATGAAAGTTTGAAATTTTACACATCTATACTTATTTTGATTATTGTACATTCTTCTACTGTTTCAGGCATTAGAAAATATTGATTGTGGGGATAAATATTTTGTATCCAGTGTTATGTTTTTGAAAAATAGTGAACACTTCAGTCCATTTTAAACTTCTGTGCCAAAGAGTGTAACTGTGTTAATTTTTCTTCACTGAAACTCTTAATTTCATCTCAATATTTCAGAGACTCCTTAGTCAATAAAAGGCTACCTCCATGTTAGAGCGACCTGCATTTCTTTGTAGTAATTTAGGTTTTTATTTCAAATCTTCAGATTTTTAAAATATTGGCAATTTTTAAAAAGCATTGTGAGAACAAACACCATGTAAAACCAGTAACAACAAAAGCAAACATTTGTAGGTCAGAGTTAGCCTGTGAGTGCTCAGACTGTCTTCTGATCTACACAGCTTTATCGCTACTATTGTGACCCTTCAGTGTTATAATTTTTCATTATGAATCAGCTAATTCTTGATGATTCATGATTTATAGTTCACAGTCATTGGCTACTGGGATAGGTATGGTAGTTGACACAGCAGCAGAGGAGTCCAGTCTGATTCTCAGTCTAGTGGCCTTGTTCCTCTACCATAATGACATTCTGTTTTTTTTTTTTTTTTTTTTTTGAGATGGAGTCTTGCTCTGTCACCCAGGCTGGAGTGCAGTGGTGCGATGTCAGCTCACTGCAACCTCTTTCTCCTTGGTTCAAGCAATTCTCCTGCCTCAGCCGTCTGAGTAGCTGGGATTACAGGCATGTGCCACCACGCCCAGTTAATTTTTGTATTTTCAGTAGAGACGGGGTTTCACAATGTTGGCCAGGATGGTCTCGATCTCCTGACCTCATGATCTGCCCATCTTGGTCTCCCAAAGTGCTGGGATTACAGGCATGAGCCACCGCGCCCCGCCGACACTCTGTTTTTGAAAACACCCGAGCCTCCCCCGTTCACAGTATTCAAAATAGATATAACACCACAGCAGACTAACTACCTACTCTCTCTTTTAACAGACAGAAAGAATCAGTAGTGTAAGTGGAGAATGGAATTTGTAATTTTTTAAAATAAAAATTGTCTTCATTTAAAAAATTCACACTGTTCCTCAGACAGTGGCTTAGGAATTTGTAATTAACAAAAATGTTTGGAAGATATTTTTTCCTTGAGAATGTTTCTAAAGCATGATAGAATATACACCAAAGCTAAATTGAATTTGCTGAAGCCGTATTTTTTTCTGTTTCAAAAAGAGTGTCTAGTGGTCTGGGGATAGCAGCATATGGTAGAGAGCAGACACAATCCATTAACATAGGATTCATAACAACATATTGTGACTGATCTCTATAGCCTCAGAGCATATTGGTTTGTGTTATCGGTTTAATCTAAATACTGTCACCTGTTTCTCAAGATGAGCCAACGGTGGAACATGGTTTAAAACTGTTTTGCCTAACATATCTGTTTCATTGCAATGCATAGAACCAAAGAGGTGGAGGCTGCTTGTTCTTTGACAAGCAGTTTACCTCTTTGGGCTTCAGTTTCATCATTTATGAAAACTGAGGCTTGATTTGATTACATACATGGTTAAGACTATAATAAATAATTTGTGACAGGTAGATATAGGGACTATAAAAATAAGATAAATGCACAGAGGTAGAAATAAAGCTCAGGATTTGGGGTCAGAAAGCCTGGTTCAAATCCTTGCTTTGCCACTTACCAGCTGCGTGACTTTGGAGAAGATTCTAGATCTCTACATGGCTCATCTGTAATGCTGAAATAATGGCACCAGACTCACAGTGTTGTTATGATGATTAAATTATATGTATAACAAAGGTTATATCAAAAGTTATGGGACAATTGCTCAATAAATGTTTATTATCATCATCCCAAGAAACTGTATAGAACTAGATTTGTTGGCAACTGGCAATTAACTGACAGGAAAAACAAAGTATTCTGATTTGGGAATAAATGTGATTCTTTTAACCCAAATTTCCAGTTAGATCTTTCCAGTGCTAAATCCGGATACAGGCTCTCAGTTCAAGGTCATTGCCACAAAGCCTTGGGTAATTATCTTGAGTAGATTTATTGGACAATTAGCTTGTAAATTCCAGCCACTCCAGAAACTGAAATACATTTCCTCTCTTTGTTAAATGTGAGCATGTAATCCAATATGTTTCAAACCCTTAGTCATAATTTTAAAATTTCCATACTTTAATGTGCACATTGCAGGGTATATAAATAATGTCTCTCTTTAATGACAATAATGTCCTCTTGGCTAGCATGACATGTGCTCACTTTCTCCATGTAAAATTCCTCCACAAAAAGTTAAATAGGTTGGGCTGGAATGAGAGATTTTCTTTTAAAATTTCTCCAGCTCTCAAGTCAGAAATTCTGTTGTCCCCTCTGCAAATGAAGGAGTGGGGAGGACCTTGAAATTGTTCCCATTGTTTTCTCTGTAGGCTTGGATATGGGCTGTACACAAATGTCCAGTTAATTTTAGAGTGGGTGTAGCTAAGAACTAAGTAAGTGTTCAAAAGCAACCAGTGAGCCTCATGTCTCCTTTACATATTGATCTTGTAGAAGGGGAGGAAGGGGGAAGGGAAGGGAATTAGTTGAATGAAATGGAATTGTACTCCAGCTGTGTTGCATGCCTTTTTGAATCCTCAACATAACCCTGGGAAGGATCCTCTTTTTAATTAGGTGGAAAGACACAGACAGGCTAAGTAAATTATTCATGCTTACACAGCTAAAAAGAAGTCAGTGTGATAACAATCTAGTTGCAACTGAATCCAGGTGTGTCTGAATCTTTGAACATTGCATAACCCTGATCACCACAGGGTTGGGAGCGTTAGCACAATTTTTAGGGTTGAACAGGAATTGAAGGGGCAAGGATTCCTAGTTTTGTGGTTTCTAAGTAATCTATTAAAAAAAAAACGTATATGATAGGGTGCCATGATAGATAGGTTCCCTGCAAGTGATTAAATTTGTGACCTTTTTTTTTCTATTTTTGGTCAAGACCAGTTGCCAGCTTCTTCCAAATAAAATAGCAGTAAATCTCCTTGAAATAGATCTTCCATGTCCTGAAAAAAGTTACCTGAGTGGTATCCCTTAGCTAAGCAAGTGTAGGGAGAGTATGTTTCATTTGTTCCGCTGTTTTGAGAGCCTTAAGCATCTTATATGGGAAGTGGTTCTCTGTGAGAAAGGGGATTGGTGTGGAGCCACAGATGCTGGGACAAGTCCTAGCCCTGCTCTTCTGAGGACAGTTTGTGCTCTGAGAACTGACAATAGTATGTGGGACCTCAGGGAGCTGGTAACATTTGGCGTACAGGCAGTGATGTATTTACTGGCAAACCGATTCTCCAAAACAAAACAAAACAAAACAAAACAAAAACAACTAAAAGCTTTTGTTCTCTCCTCACCATAGCTGATCTAAAGCTACCAACATGACATAAATGAGTGGGAAGAGACACTTGCATTCTGAATCTCCCCCGGAACCACAGGCTCCCAGTGGTGGAAATCTATTAGGGTGTGAGGACTTCTGCGCTGAATGTTCCACTAGGGAAAAGGCTTCCTGGAATGAGAGAGCTCTCAGCTTCTCTGCTATGCCCCAGATCTGATTTTCAAAATCAGCATAGCTAGTGTAGCTAGCATCCACCTCTGCTGTGGAGACACAATTGTCAGTCTCTGCATCTCTGAGCAACAGACATAATGCCACTTCAGCATCCTAGGGAGATTCCACTGCAGCCTGAATCTTTACTGCCTCTCCTCCGTGGGACAACTAACTAAATGTCCCATTCTCTCCACCTGAGCGGTAGGGACCAGTGTTCGAGGTGAGAGTACTTTCTGGGAGAACACTTTCCTTGGCCTATTTAGCTGGAGGTCCCCTTCATTGAACTTAATGCTGGTGTGGGCTGCCAACCCTGGGAACCCACTGCCAATGAGGATGATGACTGAGCTGGGCACTTAGTCCAGGCTTAGCATTTCCTATAAGAGCCCTGAAGCTAGTTTCTGTTCAGGAGCTGGAGCAATGAGTCAGGAGGAGGCCAAATGAACTCCTACCCCTCAAACATGCACAGCGATTTCTGGATGCATTGTGGGGAATGGGGCTGCAATCCGCTGAAGGAAAAGATAGGATTTTGTCCCCCAAGAAAAGTGATTACAAGATGCCCAGCAAAGATAAATATATTTGTCCCTGTTGCTACAATAGGAAGTTAACAATCTGACAAGATATCTGAACACAAGCAAATGAAAACAGTTCACCTAACACCCATGCAAATTATAAATTTCCTCCCATAAACAAAATGATGAGAAATAACAGCAAAAATGTATATTTTCTTATTTTTGAACTTTCAAAGTTCTAGTTTGGTCTTTGGATCAAAACAAAGATGTTTATAAAAGGCATTTCCTTTTCTTTCCCCACTATGCTCAATTGACTTGCTCTTCCCCTCATAGGGTACCCTGAGTCATTCAGAGAAGAATTAATAGCACTGAGATGGTGATGAAGCTCCTGTTGGGACATATGACTTCACAAAGAGAAATACTTCCAGCTAAGTCAGAGAGACAGTTGGACATCTTGAGCAAATCTTGAAAGAGGTAGGGAAGAAAGCAAAAGTTGTTGGGTGGTGCTTGTAAGAAAAAGGCTCACACGATGAGGACCAGCTTCTTGTGGATCTCCAGGTCTCTGACCACAGCACTGAATTCCTCAAAGGATATCTTCCCATCGCCATCCTTGTCCAGGATGAGGATGGTTTTGTCGACCAGCTGCTGGAGCTGCCAGTCCGGCAGGTTGTTGCCCACCATCATCTTCAGCACCTGGAAGAGCTCCCCGTTGGAAATGTAGCCATCTTTATCCATGTCGTAAATGCTAAACGCAAACCTCAACTTCTGCTCCTCGTCGCCCTTGACGCTGAACTGAGAGGTCCCCAGGATGAATTCCTTGAAGTCCACTTCTCCATCGTCGTTGGTGTCGAAGACGTCGATCACTCGCCGCACCAACGGGTTGTGGCGCAGCTCCGGCAGGGACATGAACTCCTCCACGCTCAGAGAGCCTGATTTGTCCAAGTCCAACTTCCGAAACCTCCTGCCCAGCCTTTTAATTTCATCATTGTCAAAGTGGGCGCACATCTCCGCCGGGTAACTGGCCTCGTTTCCCATTGTGGACATCTGGCAACGGCCACGGCTCACAGGGTGGGAGGAGGGCGCAGGGGCGGCGGGCTCGGGCGGGGCGCGTGCCCGGACGGTTGGGCCATGGGGTGAGGGTAGAGGGCTCCTGGGGGCCTTGGTAGAGCAGAACGGCAGGGGAGCGGAGGGAGGGGCGGCAGGTCAGAGAGGGAGCGGAGAGAGGAGGGAAAGAAGGAGGGAAAAGGGGGCGGAAGGGGAGGTGGGTGCTGTCTGGGCAGGGGTATAGGGAGGAGAGAATGGAGCTTGGGGGTGCCTGGGAGAGGCAGAGGTGGAAAGCTGGGCTGCCCCTTCTCTTTATCCTTCTCTCAGACTCTTGTACCTTTCCATGATAACCCCAATTCCCCTGGCAATTATTTTATCTACTTAATGTCCTCTCCCCCCTTTTTTTTATCTGAGAAAGTAAGCGTCGAAGGAGAAGGGGTCACATCTGTATTATTCGCTGCAGTATCCCAGAAGCATAGTGCTTCACAGGCAATATGTGCTTAGTAAATATATGCCGAATGACTGAACTACAACCAAGGACACTGTATACTTGCTTTACAGACCTAGTGTAAGGACGAAAAAAGGTGGCACATCAAGGCATTGATATAGTATGTTTTCCATGATTCCGTGGGAGGGGAAGCCAGGCTTGACATCCTTCTGTAACTTTTTCAGGACATAGGATTCAGAGTGTTTGTAAGAGACCAGACCAGAATTTCTCACATGGATCACCTACAGGCACTAACATATTCCGGAGGAATATAAACAATGCTGAATTCAGGACATTTTTCAAGATGACACAGTTCTCAAGAACACAACTTCTGTTACTCTGTTCCCTCGAATCTATCATCTCATGCCCAAGTCACATCTTTGTTGTTGGTGCCTGGCGGCTATTCTGCAGAATACTTTGGGGGAATGTCTGCAGTCTGCCCAAAGAAACCTTTGTGTGTGTTGAGAGTGACAGTAACCTCTGGATGATCTCACTTTTCTCCTTTTGTTTCAACTAGATTTGTTATTTCTGTTGAAGACTAATCTCACATGCTCCCTCCTATTCCTTCTTCCTTAGGAGCACATCAATCACTCCAAATGCATAAGAAACAAATGTGGTTCAAGAGCAAACAGTTCAAAGGGACTTGGGGAAACCTCAGGCCACTAAATCAAACTGAAAGAGGCAAACACTCCTTCACTTTAAAAAATGTTGGCAAGTTCTGTGTTCTATGGTTCAGCCAAAATATCAGTCTAAAGATAACCATGCTGGAATTAGCAAAACTAAGCCACTGATCACCTCATCATTAGGTCTGGCCATTTTACTTTCCTCTGTAAACAAACGATAATCCATGGATATGTTTTAAAGCTGATTATGGGCATTACACAAATGAAACCCCTTTTCCCAATTAGACTGTGATATTGGAACATGTTTTATTTTACTTATTTGCTTGCTTTTCAGTTATTCAGAGAAATGAGCATGGTACAGTTTGGATATAAACCTATTGAATTTGCAATATTAAGGATACCACCTTAAATTATATTACAAGATGCCTAAAACCAGTGTTAGTCTCTAAATGCTACCAACCACTGTAGCCTGTGTTCTTTCTAAAGCACAAAGACCTTTCTGGACTCTCTGGGGAGATATCCAGGCCCTGCAGGTGCAGTTCTGAAAAAATCAGAAACCTGAGGGGCAAGGACAGAACTGTATCTTTTGGGAATGCAATGGGGCTGGGAGCCTCTAGAATTGTGTTATTGGTCTCATCCTGTGTCTTTGACCACAGTGTAGTCCAGTTTCTTGGCTGCAAGTAAAAGAATCTACTTCTAAGAAGTTTAGCACAAAAGATAATTTGTTTGAAGAATCTCACATAATCTAAAGAAGAGCTGAATGATTCAGTCTTAGGAAGGATGAGGATCCCACTGGGTTTAAGGAAAAATTGGAACCAACGCCTCAGGACCAGTTATGTAATTTGCGGTGTCCTTTGTTTGAAAATGATTAAGAGCTTCAAGATGGCCACAGAAGAACATAAACCAAGTACGGGACCTTTAAGTGACTGCATGGGCCACATGCCCATGAAGCTGGCCCTGCAAGGAGTTGGGCCCATTGACCTCTCTGTGCCTTTCACCTCTGCTTCTCTTTCCTTCCCTCTCTCCTATGATAAAGCAATTCTTCTACATTGCAGAGGACACAACTAGTGACAGATTCCAAGTTAAGACTTTGGGGATTTTATTATCAGAAAAGACGGACTTTTCCCTGTTCTAGTTAGATGCCCACAAATCCCAGGAGTAGGCTCTGAGTGGTTTCACTTGGGTTGGGTTTCCACCTATGAGCCATCAGACATGGTTTATAACATATGGGAGTTTCCATTTGAACCTCACGGGTGGAGCTGGGGCGGGGGAGTGGGGAAGTGGGGGCTGGGTAGGAAGAGCAGGTACCAAAAGAAGCACATGCTCTTCCTTATAAGAACAGGGGTAATGCTGAGCAGACAGAACAACAGATGGGCATTAGACAGGTCCATTCGTGCTGACTCTATAGGAGAGAGGAAGCGTTTTGAACTCCCTTCAGTTTTGCCAACTGAATGGGCCACAGATCTTGCTATAGCTATAGGCCTCCACCAGCTCATCCATTACTGCCAGGTCCACCTTATTATTTGCTAAAATATCCCTTCACCTCTGTGTAGACAGAATCAGTATCTCACTTGCACACTCTTGTGAGTTTTACAAACTGTGGGTTACAACACACTAGTGAGTGATGAAGTTGGCTTAGTGAGTTACAAGCAACATCAAAAAAATAGAATAGCAGATAATTGAAGAGAAAGTATCATCAGTAAGGGGAAGTACTATTACTTCATAAAGTTGTTTATAAAGTTGTAAAAAGTTTACTTCATAAAGTTGTAAAACTAAATATAGTATATGTATATATGATAAAGGAATACCAGATCATTCTGGGTTTGCAATATGACATATTTTCTTGCTTGGATTATGGTAAAAAATAAAGACAGTCTGACATATACTACAGAACACAGTGTTTTGATATCCTATGTTATAGGCTCATGCCATGAGAATAATTCAACAGCAAAAGCATTTTCATACTGGTTTTTCATTCTCTGTGAGATTAGTATGTGGGGATAAAATAGATGAATCTTGAAATAATAATCTATAGCAGTGCTGTCTAATTATATATGTAGTTTAAAATTTTCAGTAACATTAAAAAGCAAAAAAGTGAATTTTAATAATATATTTATATTAACCCAACATATCCAAAGCATTACCATTTCAACATGTAATCAATATTATCATTTATGAATTATCATTTACACATTTTTGTACTGTATTTTATTTTTTTGTACATGTCAATTAGAGCTCATAACATTCCCAGTGCTCAGTAACTACATGTGGCCATCATATTGGACAGCACAGATCTAGACAGTTTAATGGAAATGGAAAGATTTGGAAGCTAAAATATTTGATGGTTGAATTATTACCCCAATTGACTGAATTAATTAGGTTAAAAAGAGGTATTATTAGGTATTATTAATTAGGTATTATAAGGTAGAAAGGATTTAAAATGGGACAACATCAAATCTTAACTGTCCACTTAGGAGCAGTAAGACCTTGGACAAGTCGCTTGATATTAGTTTTCCCATATGAAAAATGGGGCTAATAATATATATTTTGTACAGTTTTATGAGTATTAAAGCTAATGTTAGTGAATATAATAAGTCATTATCATTATTGCTATTATTACTAATTTTATTGTTACTTACCTTGCTAGTAGAGATGAAGTCTTAAAGGATACCAGCCTGCCCTGGACACTTAAGTGTACATGTGGCCACTTAACAACACTCCTCATGTATTGGTTACAGTATGCCACAGGCTGCTCACACACTATACCAGCATAAAAGTTGGCTCCTCCTGTTCAGAACTCTTTAAGGACTGATTACAGACCTTCCATTGCAGTCTTGAGAAACAAAGTAACCAACATCACTGGCCCATCAGGCACTCTTAAGGATTCCTCACTTACATTCTTCTGAGTAATTCCTTGATAGTCATTTAGAAAGAAGCTTCCAGGGTGAAAACTCTTAGTCAGCTGTATTTCCCTATGTGAGTGTGTGGTTAGGAGGTAGCAAAGGGTAAAGGAGAGAGCTTAGGAGGTAAATAGTTGGTTCCAGCCTCAGCTCTTTACCTCGTTAGCTGTGAGCCTTTGAGTGAAGCTATTGCTGTACCAGCCTCAACATACTCAACTGTGAAATGGTGATAATACTTACACCTGCTTTATCTACTGATGTGTTATTGTAAGAATCAGATGAGGTAGTGTATATAGAAATGTTACATAAGAAGGTGAAATCTTGTCACAGGAATATAGAATGGTTACACAGACAGTACTGGGAAGGTGGTAACACTTCACTGAAATAATTCAGGTGTACAAGCAGAACCATTCTACTCCGTGCTGTAGAGGATGTAACATTATGCTAGATCTGGACTTTTAGTCAATGTGAAGTTGAGTTCTTATTGTTCTACGTTTCACAAACTATGTAGTTCAGCATTATTATGGGACACATTTGTTTCAATTTTCTCTGTAAATTATTCTTAGTAATTTCCATAGAAAACACTATTTGTTACTTTTCTGTTCATCACTGTGGATTGATGTGGACTGTAGGGCATTCACTGAAGCAAGTAAATTAAAAGGGTTGACTAACTGTTTTGGGAGAAACCAGGAGGCTTGATGGCTCTTCTATTTCAGTAAGTCATTTTTTTTTTTTCCTCAAAAGTTTTCAGATAAAGAAATATGAGTAGGTCACATGTAAAAATAACTGACATTGGAAAATCAAACTAACGGAAATGGAAATGAGACTTGAGGTTCACCTAAGGTTTCATTTTTTTCAAGCCAGTCAGGAGACCAGATCACACAGCTGTTCTAGAACCTATCTCCTTGACATTTGGTTGGAAGCTCTCACCTCTCTGTAGCATTGCCAGTCACCATATTTAATATCTAAGTGTACTGACGTTAGCCACAGTGTAGACTGTGGAACCACATAGCCTGAGTTTAAACTGTTTCTGAGCATCAGGTTTGTCATCTGTTTGGTTTTCTTTTGTAATACTGAGATGGTGCTTAATGAGTTTTTGGCATGTATGGTTTTAAATCAAAGTTTTGCTATTTAACAACTTTGTGACCTTGGGCAGAGTTAACTTATCTGAATCTTTTCACTCATCTGTAAAACAAGGATGATGATTACTAACTCAGAGTATCACTTTCAGGATTAAATGAGATAGATTATAAGAAGAAGTAGGCTCAATGCCTATCACATAGTAGGCACAGGAATGGTAGAGATTATAATTATTGCCTACTTTAGGCTTGCCTAAAAACTCAAATAGACTGTATGCATACATACACAGAGATATACTCAGCTATTTATTCGTTTTCTCAGCAAATAATTATTGAGGATCTACTCTACGAGAAGAATATAATACTGACCTAAAGTGGATGCTTTTCCTGTTGTCCCTGTTCTCCTGGAGCTTACAGTTTTGGTGGGAAGATGGACATTAACCAAATTATCATGTCCATAGATGTAAAGAAGCACCTGCCTTGAGTATTACAGATGAGAAGTACATGGTGCTAGGAGAGTTTTGACAACAGGAAACTTTTATTGGGGAAATGATGATTGATCTACAGTCTCAAGAAACAGAAGTTAACTAGATGTTCTGGGAAGGAATGAGTGTTCCAAGTAGAAGAAACTCCATGTGTAAGAGGAACAAAACAAGTAGGAGGAACTGAAAGAATGCCAGTGTGACTGGAGTAGGGAGGCCAAGGGAGAGCATGGTATTAGATGAAGTGATAAGATGGTTTGACCGTTCCCCATACACTGAAGAAAAGACAACATTTACTCAATTATTCTTCATAGGGCATCGTTTATTCAATCATGTTTTAACATGTAAAGCATTGGGACATTCAGAGATGGTCTTTGCTCAGAAAACTTGCTGATCACTGAGTGAATTGAGGCATTAAAGAGTTATAATTAATAACACAAGATGGACAACAAAACATGTCAGCAGAGAGGTAAGGGAAAAGAACTACAAGAACTCAGAGGATTGAGAAATTACTTCTTTCTGGGAACAATACAGGAAGAATTTTTTTCTTTTTTCATGAAGTATTTGATCCTGAGAGAGACAAAGGGAACAAGTACCATAATCACAGAAGTAGGAAAGAGTGCAGTTGTAGATATTAGCAAGTTGCTTATAATGGCTGAAGTACTTGAGCAAAGTAGCAGAAGATGAGCTAGACAGAACCAGATGAAGCAGGGTTTTGAATGTTTGGCTAAGACATTCAGTTTCTATCCAGTAGGGAAAGCAGAAGTTTTATCAAAAGAACAACTTAATCAGAATTATATTTTGCAGAGATTAATCTGGCATTGTGGGTAGATTGAACGGGACAAGAGACCAGTATTTGGGAGAGCAGCTAGGAAACAATGACAACTACAAATTCTTGTCTAGAAGAGCCTGAGCTGGGATGAAAGAGGCACTAGAAGTAAAATGTGGAGGGTATTAATTATTTTGCAAGAGCTGTTGTAATGAAGCAGCACAAATGGGGTGGCTGGCTTAAACAACAGAAATTTATTGTCCCCTAGTTCTGGAGGCTAGAAGTCTGAAATCAAGGAGTTGGCAGGGTCATGCTCCCTTTGAAACCTATAGAGCAACCCTTTCTTGCCTCTTCCTAGCTCCTGGTGGTTTGTGGTCATCTTTGGCCTTCCTGACTTGCAGATGCATAAATCCAGTCTCTGCCTTCATCATCACATGGTGCTCTCCCTGAGTGTCTCTGTCTTCGTAGATGGCTTCTTATAAGGATACCAGTCATACTGGATTCGGGCTTCACTCTTGCTGCAATATGACTGAATCTCAGCTCAACCAATCCTGTCTGCAATGACCCTATTTCCAAACCAGAACACATTCTGAGGTATTGAGAATTAGGACCTCAGAACCTCAATATCTTTTTTTAGGGGGCACAGTTCAACCCATAACACTAGGCTGAAGTCTTATTGTATAGAAGGACAGAGGGAAGGAGCTCAGAAGAGACCCCACATGTGTATGCATTGGCTTCCCTGGCCAGCAAGCCCTAAGCTTTCATGTTGCAGGAAGCCACCTATATTGCATAAGAAGAGGGGCATCTCTATAAAGGCTCCAGGACTCTCCCATGATGTTGCCTTCTCATCCAACATGTCCTGAAATTCTACCAACTCCCACAGCCGCATGGGGAGGAATTGTCCTCAGATACGCTGGAGGAAGTGTCAGGGCAATTTCTCACATTTTTAGACTTGGTTTTTGCCTTATGTGAGAAAGAAAAAAGATGGTTTTTCCAGTATTTTGTAATAACTTGCATCAGGAGCCACTAGATGGCAATCTTCACACATTTCCATGCTTTCTCTGCTTTCTTCAAGCCGGAATCCTCAGAG